CCGTGTAAACACCGAGGTGCTCGCTTGGGCTGCGGCCGGGCCACGCCTCGCGCTCGGGCGGCGCGTCACCCGTTGCTGGGCAGAGAACCCAGTATTTGCATCTCCCAATCGCTGGCTGCTGGTACGGGGCGGGGCTGGGGCTGCGGGGCTGGGCGGTCTCGTGGCTGGGATTGGGGGTGTCGGATGAGGTCGGTTTCTTTTCTTAGGCTAGGGACGCGCGTTGGGAGGGAGGCGAGTGTGCTTCCCATCTGGCTCAGAAAGCTGGTACCCGCCCCGCGCTGCCTTTGAAATTTTACCTTGGCTGTGACACCTGCCGTCAGGTAGGACCTCCGCCCCTTACTCTTTGGAGGGCGTCTTTGGATAGGCCCAGAACTGAACGTGGGGAGACCCAGGATCTGGAAGGCCTTTCAAGGGCACAGATTCATCATAAAGGTAGCCCCTGTGTAGTGCACACAGGATCTGGTCACATACATACATACATACATACATGTGTATAGATATAAATATATACTCAACAAATTCTTTTGGATCCAGCCAACGAGCCCCTTTCCTGTTTTGATCTCGGTTAAAATGCAACGTGACTCCCACTTTCTAGATTTGAAACACCGAGGACACGCAGACTCGGGCTTGCAACCTAGGCTCGCGCTCCCAGCTCTCTGTGCGCACGAGGTGTCCAGGCCCCGGTCCACCAGCCGAGGGTCTTAAGCAGGGTGGACCTCTCGATTTTCACAGTTCTCGAGCAAGGTTCGAGGACGTGTGGGTGCCCACTCCCAGAGCCCACCCTACCCGGCGCCCGGCAGGGAACGCGACTGGTGCGCCAGGCCCTCCCGGGTATGGAGAAGCGTGCGCGGCGGGGAGGGCGGAGTCACACCGAGGGGCGTGCCCCGGACGCATGCTCGAGGCGCGTGGCGGGGAGGGACTGCGCTCTGCCCGCTCACCCACGTGTGATCCCGCTCGGGCGCCGCTGGGCGTGTGCTAGCCCCGGGGGAGGTCACCTTCACGGAGCCCTGGGCCCGGGCGTGGGAGGGTTGCTGAGGGCCCGTCCCAAAGACAGGAGCAGGGTCTCGGGCCCCGGGTCTCGACGCTGGTACTCTCGGGGGACGTAGCAGTCGAAGAGTCTGTGTGTCTGAGCCGCTGACCTCACCCACATCTGCCCCAGCGGGAACTGCTTGCCCAGCCCGCAGGGTGTAGGCCTGGAGGGCTGGCCCCGCGGCTTCTGGGCAGCGCTGGGGGGTGGGGGGGGGGAGGCGGGGTGCAGCCTTTAGGTGTCCGGGAGGGAAGCTGGAGTACGGTCGGCAGGAGGAGGCGACTCTTAAAGGCACAGGGTGCTTGGAAGGAGAAGTCCCTAGGGCCTGTGAAATGGTTGCTCTGCTGACTTACTGGACGCTGAGATCTGGAGAGCCTAGAATTTCAGCCTTCACTAGCTAGCCTGACCGGTTCACTATTCCATGGAATTAGAATACCTCCCGATGCCTCCCTTTGCTTTTTCCTAAAAATGGGAGAATGCGGTTTCTTTTCATTTGATTGTTTTACAAATCAAATGGGATGAAAGATGTGAACATACCTCTGTTTCCTCTTAAATGCTCAATTAATCCTAGTTATGTGAGATTCAGGTCCTAAAGATCGCAACAGCATAGAGATACTAACATAGCAAGAGAAATAATTCGCAGGGATAGATCGCAAAGTCGTGATCATGAAAAAAAGATACTTTGAATTTTCTCACACTTTTACACTTTTACCCCATTCGTTTATTTTAAATGACATATAGTGGACACAGCCATCTTTTCAGTAGTTAAGACTAACTAGATCTGTTAGAACTAAATAGCTGCTATTGTTACTATACTACTATTATGACGTTACTGTCAGTTTCAACTTTTGGCCTCCTGGAAGTTTCTCAAACACGGAAAGAATGCTTGGACTCTCCCAGGGCTTTGTACCTTCTGCCTCCTCTTCACACCCACAAGACTGACCCATCTTAGCATAGCCTTAGCTCAGATAAGCCCTGCCCTGCCCACTCTTGTTTCCACCTGTCCCTCTCCATCTCGCAGGTGCTCAGAATGGTTTGTCTAACACAATACCATCACTGACCGTGATCGACTCACTTCATGTCTGACTCACTTCATGTCTGTGTTTACATGGAGCTTCCTACCCCACCCCCTGCCTTTCCTGCCCTGAGGTAGTATTGAGCCTGAAACTTTTCCTGCATATATGTTTAAACTTAACAGTTTTCCTTGACATACAATTCACCTAGCATACAATTCATTAATTTCAAGCATATCTTTCAGTGGTCTTTCCACAAAATTGTGCAACTATCACTGCAATCGATTTTTTAAATTTTTCATCACCTCCCTGCTACCTTATCTGAACTCTTTTCCTGAATTTTCTGTTTTGAGCAAGTTTTCCAGCTAAGTGAGTCTTTGCAGTTTGTGGAGTGAGCCAGGCTGCTTCCACACTCATCCCAGCTCTGCGTCTCTGCCTCCCTGGCCTCTGCTGACTTCATGTTTCTGTTCTCTCTGCACCAGTAGCTTTCCCAGATCATCTGACACTCAGACGGGATTATTTTTAACTTTCACCTCGTCTGAATGATAACATAATTTTTAATAATAGTTATGAAATACAATGATTAATACTAATCACAATAACCAGAAAAATGTAGATGGTGAAAATAATTTTTCATTGGTCTTTGTATGTGTAATCATGTCAGTATTCATAAATATTACAGGTTACAAAAAGGATAAGGATAGTGGATTAATATTTTTCAATTACATTAATGGATTTCTTTTAAAAAAGAAAAATCTACCTACCTATACAGTGCCCTGTTGTAAACATTAAAGTTTTAAAACAAGAATAACATTTTGGGCTCTTCTTGGTTGTGCAACAGGATAAAACACAGCATTGTGAAGCTATCCGCAAGCAGTGCAGCACAAGTTCGATCCCCAGGGAGGTGACCCACATGGTGCAGCAGACCTCTCCTGACCTGCCCGCTGTTCCCCTCAGCAGTGTATTTCAGTACATCTGCCTGTTCTGTTCCCCACTTTGTCTCTGGTGAATCCTCTCACCCCCTACACCTCTGGCCTGTACCCCCAGTTCTGTATCCATAAATAAATCTTTAAAAAAAAAGGAATAACATTTTAAGACTAGGAATCAAGAATCAATTTCTATATTATTCAAATACACTAAAACGTGATTTTACTGAACAATAATAATAGGTTTACTAAATAATGAAATGTGCAATTACCACACTTTGCAGTTTGTTCTGTTTCACTTTTAAGTTTTTCAATATGAAAGCTTCAAGTGGACACAGAATTAAAGTAAAATTAAAGTAACTCCCAAGTTCTGCTTCTTCAGCTTCATATTCACTGTGTGATCTTTATGTTGAATCTATTGTTTAAACACAGACATATGTTGTACCAAAGAAGCTGGAGGCACAAGTGCTCAGGAAGCAAGCTTGAACAATTCTGGATTGTAATGAAGGTATTCTCAAAATGAATATGTATAGCTGCATCTGACTGGGCTGTGTTAGGGCTGGTTGTGAAACTGGGAGTGCTGTCAGTTAACTTCCTCGTGGAATATACAGCTTATTAGAGCTTAATTATATATACCAATTTGAAGCTTACAAATACATTATTAAGACTTGAGTTAGACCAACAAATTGATCTTCTGGGAGGAGTATTTTATCAACGACTTGGTCTAGAATTGTCACTTGGTGTTAATAAAAAGCAGAAGGGCTTATTTTTGCCATTAATGCAGACAATTGACTCTATTGTTACCTGCATCACCCCACTCAGGACACCATGGCAGAGCAGGGGTTCCATGTGATCAGGGAACCTTCCTGATTTCCACTCTCACCATTGTATTCCAGCACTGAGCAGAGACTGACACAGTGAAGGCTCTCAATGTCTGTTCAATGAAGGAAAGAAGGAAGGTGTGGGCATGACTATCACAGACACCATCATGCACCAGTCCACCCAACTGTACCTGACTTCAGAACATCAGTCTCCAAACAGGCATGGTCCCCAAAGACATTCATGCTGAAGAAAGGGAACAATAAATAAGAACAAAGACATTCAATTTTTATTTAGCTATATTTCTTCATCTTAAAAAATTAGGAGATTGTGGCCCTCCCTGGTGGCGCAGCAGGTTAAAGCACAGCACTGAGAAGCTAAAGCCACTTCCGCATGAGTTCGATTCCCGCCTGCCCCAGAGGCATGGTCCCCAAAGACATTCATGCTGAAGAAAGGGAACAATAAATAAGAACAAAGACATTCAATTTTTATCTAGCTATATTTCTTCATCTTTTCTTTTTTTCTGATTTTTATTTATTATGGACCCTGCT